CGATTTTAACATTGGATTTTCCTCTCCAGCTACAGACGCATGCGCTACGTGCACTCGTCTTAAATATGTTATTCAACAAAACGCTCGCGGCTCAGTTGAAAGAATTAATCCAATGACCGAACTTCGTATTCACAAGCTGAGAGCGGATGCGTTTTACAAACTAATGAAGGAAGTTCCCAATGATACTTATAGTTTTGTTTTTGATTTGCAACAAGTGCATCCACTCCCTAAAACTCCAGTCGGCGATGCCTTTTATTGCCGACAAATTGCATTCTATGCATTTTGCTGTGTACCTATTGACTCAAAGGCACCAACATTTTATACGTGGAATGAAACGCAGGGAAGAAGAGGAGCAAATGAAATCGGATCTGCACTCATCCATCACTTAAGACGCCAAGATCTTTCGTCTTTTTCCGCAGTATCGTTGTTTTGTGATGGTTGCGCTGGCCAAAATAAAAATGCTCATATTGTTCATGTTTTGTGCCATTGGCTTAAAAATGAGGCTCCAGAGAATGTACAGAAAATTCAAGTAACCTTTCCGACTCGTGGCCACAGTTTTCTTCCAGCTGACCGAGCTTTTGGCCGTGTGGAGAAGCGCTTGAAAAAAACTGATACAATCATCTCGAGCGAAGAGTATGCTTCTATTTACGAGGAGTTTGGCTCTGTACAGAAACTTGGACAAGACTGGGTGGTATACGATATCAAAAGTCTTGAAATGATTTATCAAAAAATCAGCCAAACCAAACGCCTCATTGTTAAGAAAATCAAAACAAGGGACAGACATATTTCAACCTAAATAAAATGCTGCGCCAACTACAGGTTCGATAGTGGAACAGAAATTTTTAGAAGCATTGTAAAAAAAAATAAAAATGTTTTCTTCAGGTTCTTCCCCAAATCCCACTATCTCATTCCGTGACTGAAGAGAAAAAAAAGACGTCCTTCATTTATTGCAAAGCCACGTTGGACAAAATTGGAAAGAGATCCCTGATCTTCATTGGTACATTAATGCTCTTCAACACAAAGTTACTTGTAATCCAGATCCAGAAACCCACAACTACCATGATGGCGAGTGTGATTGCTTGGAGGATGAGCCAAAAAATGTTCACATCTAAATTTTTGATACTCCTCATTTTTGTTTTTTTTTTGTTCTAGTATGTACCGTTTAATATTTTTTATTTCAAACATATTGTTAATTTGACAAAAGTTAATATCTCTCATCTTTTTTTACAAAACGCGATATCTCCAACACAGACATGGCGATATTTTGTTAATGCAAATCAATAAAAATATTCTTAATTAACGTTTGATTTCTCTAAATCTAACCTCAATTAATTACGTTCTCTGAAATTTCGAAAATTTTAGTACAACAGCTGCAGCACGTTTTTACGTCTCCTGAAAATTTTTAAAAAGTGGATTTATGCAGTTTTGTAAAAAAGCTCCTCATATAACACACATTTACGGATATCGTCGGCCTAATTAGCAAATCACATAAGTCCACTTTTTGTCGAAATTGACATTGTGCTACCATCTGGTAGAGAATAAAAAAATCTTTTAGTTAAAGAATATCCCACAAGTCCCAAGAAATCTGCAATGGAGTAAAATTGAAAATAATACTTCACACAAGTCCAACGTTAGTTGTAACAGATAGGAAAATCACATAACTCCTGGTATTTACGCGGTAAACACACGTGCGTGCTAAAGGTCTCGTTAAGTTGTTCAATTTAGGCTGCAAATTGTACATTAAGAAATAATTGTTGTTATTCACCATTTCAAGTAAGTTATTGTGCTAATATTATCAATATTTTATAAAAAATAATCAATAAATTATCTGATAATTCGGCTTAAAAGGTAGCATTGGGACTTATGTGATTTTCTCTTTTTATGTTTGGTCATACAATGTGAATCCCTGATGGACTTGTGTGTTTATATATTATTTTATGATGTCAAATTGAAGTTAGATATTAATAAAATAATTATACGTTTTTTGTATGCAATAATGTAAGTAATACTTTAATGCATAAAATTAATCTATTTAGCTGAGAATTCAGACACATGAAGATAAAAATTTTCATCTTTTGCCGAAATTAATAAGTATTTTATAAGTAATTCTTTTGTTGGTTGCAGAATGTCAAGCAGAAATCAGAAGATGCTTAGTATGGCTAAAATTCAACACAACAATTCTTCAAATCCTGATTTGAACTTGGAAATACCTGTTAACTCAGAAGAAAATAAAAACTACGAACTACATGTTTTAGAAACAAGCACGTTTCAAGAAGAAATAATCGTTCAGACAAATGAAACAAGTGCTGTTGCTATTGACATTAACACGGAAATCGTACTGGAAGAAAATTTGAATGAATTTGAAAGAACATTACTGCATAGTCCAGTTATGAGACAATAAATAATACGGATGGAGAGATAATTCGAGAACAGAACTTAATCGAATTTTTGTCACAAACTAATGATACAACAGAAGAGATTTTGCATGAAGAAGAGACCGCCGAACCAATTGTCAAAAAAAAGACGCAAATGCAGACATGTTGACAAAAATGATTGGACATGAGAGGAGAATAAAAGGAAGAGAGAGTTGGGCTCCGAATTTTTTGGGAAGAAGAAAGAAGGTAATAAATGGACATATGACTTGAAGAGACCCAGAAAGTCCTTGGCAGAGACATGTAATTGCAAGTTTGACCCAAACACTTCCAAGTTAAAATGTCGTGCCTTTTCTGAAGAGCACCGTAATAACATTTTTGATTCATTTTGGAGAAAAACTTGGGATGAAAAGAAGTTAACCGTTAATCTACTAACCCAACGAGTAAACACTTCGAGGGCTAGAAATAAAAAGAATGAGGAGACATCTCAAAGAGCATGTTCTTATAATTATTATCTTAAAAGAATGGATTAAAATTAAGAGTTTGCAAAAAACTATTTTCAAACACATTAGGCTTGAAACCTTGGACAATACATAATTGGTTAAAAGCTTACCACATAAGTACAGAAAATAATGAGGATATCAAAAAAACAATTAATGAAAACACGACAGGATTGGAAAAAACAAGAAAATGCTAGCGACAACACTTGCAAGATTTTTTTAAATCGCTTGCAAAAGTTGAATCCCATTATTGCAGAAGTTCATCCTCAAAACAGTATCTTGAACCAATTTGGAAATCTAAATCAGAATTGTACACATTGTATAAAGAAACATGGTGTTCTAAATTTAATGAATCTCCAATGTCAATAGCTTACTTTTGTCATATGTTTGAAGATTTGAATCTTAGTCTGTTTAAACCAAAAAAAGACGAGTGCGACGTCTGCATTTCATTTAAAAGTAAAAACATTACCGAAGAAGAGTATCACCAACACATACAAAAGAAAGATGAAGCGAGGCATGAGAAGGAATTGGATAAGCAATCTAATAATAGCGTCTTTACGATGGACTTGCAGTCGGTGCTTCTATGCCCTAAATCAAATGCTGGTTCACTTTACTTTAAAACCAAACTTATTGTGCATAATTTTACCGTGTATGATTTGAAGACGAAAGCTGGTTACTGTAACATCTGGCATGAAGGCGAGGGAGGATTAAGTGCACAATCATTTGCTTCTATAATTAGCATTTTTATAATAAATCACCTTGCAGAAACAGAAAATAATGGTGAAGACGACAATAACTGCTTAATTTTTTGGAGCGACGGATGTGGCTGCCAAAATAGGAATGCAACCATTGCAAATGCCTTACTTAATTTAGCTGTACTTAGGAAAATTACAATAATTCAGAAGTACCTCGAACGAGGTCATACTCAAAAGGAATGCGATTCTATGCATTCCGTTATTGAGCGCAAGTTACGAAATAGAAACATAAATGTACCGGCAGATTATGTTGATGTTTGTAGAACAGCTAGACTACATCCCAAGAATTACAACGTAGAGTACCTTACAAATAGCTTTTTCAAAAATTTTGATTAGGTACATTTTGTCAATTCAATTAGACCTGGGCGCAAAGCTGGAGACCCAAGGGTTAATGATGTCCGGGCTTATAGGTACAATTCAAACGGTACCATAGATTTCAAACTGCGACATGTTGCCGACTGGAAAGCTCTTCCATCAAGATATAACAAAGTTAAAGCTACTGAACTGCAAGAACTTCCTCGTCTATATAGCGCTCCTTTAAAAATCAAAAGAGAGAAATTCGACCACTTAATGTCTTTAAAAAATATTTTACCCAAAGACTACCACCATTTTTACGATCAGTTGCCACATGAATAATACGAAAATAAATATTAAGTACACGAAATTTTAATTTGTTCAAAAAATCTTTTTTAAGTAAAAAAGTTATCAATAAAATGTAATAATTGTTTAAACTATGTATTTTTATTAAGTCACACAAGTCCAACAAAAATAAGAATAAGCGCAGAAAAATCAATAAGTCCATTTATATAATTATCATTAACTGATATCATGTTTTAGACAAATATATACTAATATCTAACCTGTAGTAGATTTATCATCGATATTTAGAACAGAAACTTACAGTATTTTTTAATTTAATTAATTTAATGTGTCTCCTGAAAAGTTTTGCTTTTGTGACTTATGTGATTTGCTAATTAGGCTGACGATATTGTTAAAAACTTTTTTCCAATTATTTTTCACTTTTTCATGAATTACTATAAATATTTATGTAAGGCATGTAAAGTTATATACTCAAACAAAATTCCATGTAAATCCATTCAAATATACAAAAGTTATTAAGTAATGAAGTTTCGTAAAAATTTAAATTGCGTTTTTCTCGAAACTACATTATTTGACATATCCTATTGTTGCTTTGAGGCGACGATAGATTTCTACGGTCAGATAAATGAAAATCACTAAGTTCTCGGGAAGAACCGCGTTGAGAATTTACACGCAGTTATTACACATTTTATTAATAATTATGAGAGGAAAAAGATACCAAAAAAAAGTTTATTCTAAATCTTTTACTAATTAAAACTTTTAACTTTTTCTAGACGAAATCTGTGGATTCAACATTCAGGAAATTTAACTCTTCAAACTTTAACACAGAAGCAACTTTCACACAAATTTCTTTGCAGCGATCATTTTACTGATATCGACGTAGCGTCAGTCATAAGGGGTAAGAACAGATTAAAAGATAGCGCTATTCCTAAAAATTTTGCAACCACTGATGTATTCGAAGCTTTGCAAAATAGTACTCGTAATTCTGATTCAACGGCAAACAATAAAGATTTATTCAGTGAAGACTCTCAATTAAATAAAAAAGTTCCTATATTAAAAAGTGAACTATGCCTTCAAAATGGAAATGATGCTCACATGTCTTCGTCGTTGGATGTTTCAAATGGTGACCAAAATTTCGCTTCATTCGCTAATAACAACCTCAATTTAAGTAATGATCGTATTCAGTCGATCCAAATTCAATTAAATAAAAAAAATGAGGAACTGAAAAACGCACAAGATGCATTAAAACAATCAGCTTTAATAATTGATTTTATTAAAAACAAATATGAGGCAAAAGTTAAATCTAAAAATGACACGATTCTTAAATATAGACGTAAAGTATATAACTTAAATCGTAAATTAAATAGAGTGAAAACATTCTCAAAAGAAGCAAGTGAATTAAAAAAGTCAGTTGATAAGCTTGATGAAGAAATAAAAGAATTTTTAGATATGCAAATTAGCCATTTTAAGAAAAGTAAATGGACTGAAAAGGAGAAACAATTTGCTATATCTTTATTTTATCAATCTACAAAAGCTTATCGCTATCTTCGAGAAAAAAAACATTTTAAATTACCATGCGTATCAAAAATTAGAATTTGGATTAATGGGTTAGATTCGACAGCAGCGACCCTGGAAAAGACAGAAGAAGAAGAGTTAGAAAAGGAAGAAGAAGAAGAGTTAGAAAAGGAAGAAGAAGAAGAGTTAGAAAAGGAAGAAGAAGAAGAGTTAGAAAAGGAAGACGAAGAAGAGTTAGATTCGACACATAATCCACTGGTCCCAGACGAAACTTTGACTCTGCCTCAGATTATCATACTAACAAGCTGAATTTTGCTGAGAATGTCAGTTTTAGGACCACAAAAAAGATGCATCAAAGTTTGTCACTCCTACTGTCATCGTGTGCCTTAGTCTGTGGACCAATAAGCTCGTCGGCACGCATCGCTCCGCCTTTTACCTCCTATTCAATTTACGATTGGCCGATGGACTTGGCACACTTGCACATATCGATACGAAAGAAAGATTCTTATCGATCTCCTATACCCTGGCAGCCCCCTTCACGGGGCTCTACTCCCCACTCGTCCTTGGACTCATTTGCTACCTTTGTGCTACCAATTAGCCTTTCATTTGTGAGAAATTACCTAACCCACCAAATTGGGATAGAAACGCAGAGGAAACTTCGATTGGGCAGAGTAAAAGCCTTCTGTAGAGTATTTAGGAGCTGATATGGAGTTATTTCTTTGTGAAGACCCCAACTTCCATATGGTGACACTACCCGGTGACTTGCTCCTAACACCTCCCTTCGTACTGGTGAAAAACGGAAAACATCGTTTTACTCAGATGTAAAAAAAATGTTTCAAACAAAAAATGTAGCTGAGTTAATTTAGAACAAAAATGTTTGTTAGTAATGTTTGTGTAGAGTTAATCGTTCTCTCAAAAACAATGCTTAAAGCGGCCGGTGATTTTGAATGTCAGTTAGGCGCGCGAAATCAATTTTTTCATTAAGTTTTTATCAACTCAACGGTAAAAAATTCAATATCTTTTGATCAGAGTGTCCTGTCGACAAAAATCAAAAATAAGTTTATTAACGTTTCAATTTCCACTCCGAAGTGAGAATTGAAACGTCAATAAACTTATTTTAACCTTCAATTATGGTTTATTCCCAATAAAATAGTATCTACTTTAAAATGCCACAAGAAAATAGCTTCAGAACAATATAAATCAAAATCCATTTTAAAGCTTGCAGCTTTCGTATGCAATTTTTCATTTTGTCGCAAATAAAATAAGTTGCTATAAAGTTGATATTGACCGGTCGCTGTAGAATTAAAATTTTTAGAGATTAATCTTCATAATCTATAACACGAATTTTCGATTTTGAGTTTTGGCAATATATATATGAGGCATTTGAAATATGCCTAAAAACGCCGAATTTAAACTTTCTAGGGGTCGCCAAGTTCTTGAAAATTTCAAGATCTTGTCTTGATTTAGTAATTTTAGATTTCAAGACAAGACAAGAAATTTTATATCAATACCAAGATTTATTGTCAAGTAAACAACAAATCTTGAAATATCTGGACTAATAATGAAAACTGTAAAAGTATTTATTTGTGAAAAAGGTAACATATTTTAACACAATATAACATTTTAATTTATTGAACACTTTTTGCTAAAACGATTTACAAAAATGTAAATTTAAAATAACACATGATACTTACCTAATCCTGTTGAAAATAAAATTGCAAACTAGATTTTATTTTAACACTACTGCCCAATTTTTTGACTGCAAAAAATTTCTACTGTTATTTACTTCTAGGATAGGATCAAATTAAAACATTTTTGAAGATTTTTTAAATTCTTTATTTCTTTTTTATTAATAGGGTTTGTGACTCTCAAGTTACAATGGGAAAAAAGTTAATTTTGATGAAAGTCCACAAAGCAATTAGAATTAGGCGTAAAGCACAAATTTACATTAAATTTTTTACATCATATTACTTTTGGCACGCCTATGAATCCCGGTTTCTTGAAATGCCCATGCTTTTCCGAAAATTTAGGCCAATGGCCTATTGGGACCGTGCAAGTTCGGAAGAGTGACACCTGGTGTCGTAAATCAGCAAAATTTACTGCGCTTTCATGTTAGATCGATGTTACCGGATAACTGTCAAGGACGTAGCCCCAAAAAAGAATAAGAAAAAAAAGTAAGATTGAGGTTATGTCGGTATGTTATTAAAAGGTAAACGTTGTATGTAGTGTAAATACAAATAAATATATTATTAAATTACAGCTTTAATGTTAATATGGATGCAATAATAAAAACTGGATTTGATAAAGTAAATCACCAAATAACTTTTCAACAATTTTTTGTTGTATTTTTACAATGTATAACACAGCATTTACTAAATCGCATTTTCTTCAGTGACAGAAGGTGTAAATAAACAAACGAATATGAAATGTGACAATTTGCCAATTGACAATATGAATTTATGAAATCTATGAAATGTGCAGTAAAAAATGCAAGATTTCTCCGCTACTCGCGCACGATTGTTTCTCGTATCACATCCAAGTACTTGCACGTCGCCAATTCCATATGTTTTTCTCCGGTAGGGAAGCGATAGGTCTTCTTTTCCTTTTCCTGCTCTATTTCTTATTCTATTATAGATAGACTGGGCCTTCCCCCCTTCTTGAGCCACTCTTTACCCTCTTGACAAAGAAAAGCGGCAATAGATGCTAAAAGCTAAAATACTTAGTTCATGGTTTTTTCTTATACCAAGTAACTGGGTGTTTCTTCAACCAAGCAGTCATAACTGCTAAATCAAATATATAAACACAATGCGCAGGTAGCACCAGGAGCTAATCCTAGTTCTATATAAAACCATCAACGAGTCCATTAAGTCAACTCTGTCCATACATTTATTGTAAAACGGTGTAATGTTAGGACATTCCACAAGAATAGTTTCTTTCTTTGCTTTGTCTCATATTTGAACGTGACTTGTAGGATACGTGCCTACAAACGAACTCTGTAAATGCACCGGCTTGTTGTTGTACCATTTGACTGCTTTAAGGGTTATTCTTTCTTTCTTGTAGACAAGTTCTTCGAAACTCCCTCTTGCTTTCTTTTTTGTATCTTTGTCGGTAGAGAAATTACATCCTTTAAATCTGTTAGGTTGAAGAATATCCTGGCTTAAGAACTGGTTTAAGGGAATGGTTTGAATGCAGTAGTGCAGAACTTTTTAGAGCGGTAGTCAACAAAGTCCGCATAGTCATGATGACTTCCAACCTTCGATAGATGGAACTTAAAGAAGAAGAATCTGTTAGGATGTACCTTACCTGCAGAGGGAATACCCAACTTGTCTAGTTCAATTTGCAGTAAACCAGTTATCAAAATATATCTTATGATAAGCAATTCTTGGAATTATTGTGGCCAATCGAAAAACCACATTTCCACTGACTCCAACACTTGGTAAATTATATACAATTTCGTTGGTATCGCTATAGGAGAAACGCTTTATAGCCCTACTTTTTTCTTTTGTTTTTTATATATATTTTTAGACTGTTTTCCTTTAAAAGGATAACTGGTTCATCCACTCATAGTTTTTCTGTCATTGGAATTTTCCGAAAATTTGTTATAACTGGTTCTAAAAGCGATTTGATTTTGTATATATTATCTCCGGGAATTATCTGACTATTTTCATTGAAGTGGATATTGTTTTTTATTTGTTCCAGCGATTCAGTTTCAGAAACATAGTTTCTGAAACAACTGAAATTAAAGTAGACGCTTTCCAGTACATTCTAGTTGAGGGTAAACTATACACTGACATGAACAAACATACACCGAAAAACTGTTGTTCTATTTCAATTTTGTACACATGTAAAGATTTTTCGTGAATGGGTAGAATACAGATTTGTTTGATAAACGATATTGTCCAAAATATTTTCATCTATCAGCGTTCTAAAATATTTGATTGGAGTATACGGGTTTTCAGGAAATAGCTTTAAACTACCTTTCCAAGGTTGGATTGGCTGTGCAGAACGACTAGTAATCCGTTTCCATGTGATATTCTGATGATTGGCACGTCATTTTTGTCGTCATTGTCATCCCCTTTTTCATTATCATCTTCCTGGTTCTCATTATTGTCTTCCATGTTTCCCACACTCATTTATTACGAACAAACATTTTATGAAATATTTACTACTTAATCATCGTCAATGTCAGATTTTAGAATGTAATCTTCGGAGTCATATCCACAAATGTCTCTAATTTAAATATTATTTAGTTCTTTCTTGACATAAAATAATTTTACACACATAGTTTCCATTTCTGTTACCACCTGCAAACAAAATTGTGTTATACATTATGGACCATTGTAACTTTAAAGTTACACAACATTTTTTATTCACAGAATACCTAAAAAGATGTAGTCTTTAACCTTTAAACTGCGTTTAGATTTTTGTCAATAGGACATTCTGATCAAAAGATATCGAATGTTAACCGTCGAGTTGATACATTTAAATAAATTATTTCGCGCGCGTAAACGACACTTGAAATCGCCGGTCGCTTCAAGCGTTGTTTCTGAGAGGTTCATTATACAAAAAGTGCTAAAAAACATTTTTGTTCAAAATTATTTCTCAGCAATATTTCTTGTTTTTCGATTTTGCTTTTACGAGATGTGGTTTTGGCGGAAACTCGGGGGTAGGAGTGGCAAACTTTTTTCATTTTTTTTTGGAGTCATAAAATTGACACTCACGGCCAAATTCAACTTGTTTGTCTCGTTTTTAGATATCAAATCTCTGCAGACTGGACTAACATAGATCCTCATCCATTTGAAATTATGAATGTTAGTCTAGCCACTTAAAATTTTAGTAAAATTGCCGGTAAACATTCAAATGTAAACTCAGTAAAACACGGGTTTTAAAATTTCTGAAAATTTGAAATTGTAAAAAATTTTATTTTTTATTTCAACGGCCCTGAAATTGTAAAAAAAGATTAACGATCTCTTTGATTGTCGAAATAAGAGATCGATTAAAGATCCAAATCTCTTACGTAAACCATTATCTCGTTTTAAATTCAAGTTGAAAACTATTGCGACTTAATCGAGATCCTTTAGAAAATTGATTTGGAACTCTTAGAAATAGATCTAGTCATAATTCAAATCCATCTGCAATGCAATTCAGGAAAAATTTTCAATACCAATTTATGCCAATTTAACATCTATTTCAAAAGGAACTAATTGCAAATCTGACGAAACATTAGCGCTACTAGCAATTTCGAATTTAATTGATGTAAATGGAGAAAAAAAATTATAGAAAAAAAGTATATTAACCCATTCACTATCAGGTTCGCCTGAACAGTTAGGCCGCGACGCGCCGGTCAAGTATGCGGAGCACACACACTTTTCATTCTCTTCATATCTTATTTGTAATTGTTGCGGAACGTAAAAACAGATGGAAAAAACGCAAACAATCATAAAAAATGGATGCAGAGAAAAAAAATTTACCCGTAATTACTCTTTAATTAAGACATGAACCATCTGACAATTTTGTACGCATGAGCGAATCAGTATACAACGAGCTGCTATCACTTTTTCCTTGGTTAGGAAAAAATATAAACAATACCAGCTATTTTGGGATTCTCAGCACCTGGACGATCGTATGAGTGTCCCAAATATTCAACTAGGATTTGACCACACATTCTCCTGGACAAATTATTCCTGAAACATCTGTGGCCCTGTCAAAAGTTCTGCAGAAATACATTAAGGTATGTTTTTTATTTTGTCTATTGTATTACATTTTTAAACTATCAAATATAATGTTTAACAATAAGACACCTGTTAATAAATAATACGGAAGGAAACACTGAAAAGTAAACTTTTAATATACTTTTCATTTTCATATTTATTAACGGAGCGTTTTTAAAATAAAACGAGTGATTCTAATGTATTTAAAACTATAATTTAATTTATAAGTTTACAGCACGATAGTGTACCGTTTTTAAATAAAACGAGCGGTTCGAATTTATATAAACATATGTATTTATAACTTTACAGTTTGGTACTATCTTATCAAATAAACCTAACTCCTAATTTCGTTACATATATATACCAAAGTATTATGTTCGAGAATATTCGGGAGCAGTCCCCCAAAGCACAAGAAACCATCTTGTGCTTTGGCAGAGCATGTAATAGACAAAGACCATATTATAGATTTTGATAATATTAAAATTTTATGTAATGAAAGTATTAAATTTAAAAGAACTTTTTTGGAAATGGTTTGTATTAGCAAAAGTGATAATAATTTAAACAAAAGGTCAGAAATTCAAAATTTAAGCAAAATTTATAATTATATTATTTCTATTTAATTTATATATGCAGTCAGTAAAAGATCACATTTTGAATTTTCTATGTATTTGTTACATTTTTTCGGGCATCTATCACTGGTGAATAAATCTTCTTCTTTTATCAAAATTTTATTTTTGACAATATGTCAAAAATAAAAATTTATTTATGACATTTAGGCTGGTTTGTAGCTATTCTATTTTTGTTTACAAATTTAATTTTTTTGTTAAGAAACTTCATCAAATTTTTTCAGAGAAACATTTATTAGAATAAGACATTTTTTTATTAATAGTTTTTGTAATTAATATGTAAGCAGTAGTTTTATATAAAAAACTAATTTTATTTCGTGAGTTAACAAAAAATTTTTCATTTCTAGTTCAACTTTGTAAGATATTTTGTATTTTTTAGAAGCTCTTGATAAAAATTGTAATCACAATTGAAAGCTCGAGTAAAAAATAGTCAACAAATAGCCCCTTTTATTGACTCCAACCCATCAAAAAAAAACAGTTTTATATTTTTTCCAAACGAGTTACAAGTACTTCTTTTTTCTTACTCTTATATATATATATATATATATATATATATATATATATATATATATATATATATATGTATATATATATATATATATATATATATATATATATATATATATATATATATATATATAGACAAAAATTCTTAATGTAACTGATGCAATACTTCTGACACTGTATTTTTAGGTACAGTCAGCTGAAGCTTAGATTCTGTACCATCATCGTTCTTAAAGGTTCCGGGCAAAAGATCATCTTTTAGCACCAGGAAATTCCATCAGCTCCAGTAGGACTTGACTTCTGGACTACATGCACTGACGTCTTGCCAAGAAGGTCTCTCACATCGACGCATCAAATCCAATATTTTTATACATGGATCATCTGCTTGGGCGTCTTGTAGCCGTTGAGGCTGCCTTTGATCATTCATGACGGTGGTTTGTTTCAAGGGGAATGATTTACAGTTTTTCGTTACACTAATTCAAAAGTTTCAATGTAATTTGATATTTCTGCCGTTTCAGTATTGTTGTGAGAAGTTATGCGTTGTTCTTGTTGCATTAATGGTGCGTGATGCGTGTGCAATGTTGTGGACGTGATGTGGGAGATGATGTATAATATTTTGGACTGATGTGGTAGATGTTTAATGTTCTGTACTGAAAGTGGAATTTGGATAGTTAAGAGCGTACATTTCTGCTTCATATAATATGACGTTAATATTTTTTCGAACATTATGTGTAGGCGTTTATCTTTAATGCCTCTCATTTTTATAACTACTGTTCATCCCAACAACTCGCCACAGATTTTCTCTGCATAGGTCGTAAAATCCCAGTCGACGCTGTAAGTTGATTCGATTCCTGTCGCTCTTCTTCAGAGCCAGTTGGTTTGAATTAGTGTTCCTCTGGAGATACGTCATCGTTGTTAATCTAAAATACAGTTTAATTTTGACTTCTTCATGTGCCATATCAGAATTATCTGACGTTAGCGATCACCATTGAAAGGGCTTCCCAATCTGCTACATGGGATAATTATTCTTCATTTGATATCTGCGTCCATTCAGGAATGTTTTTTAACCAAGAAACCTGTTTTCTTCCTACACCTTTACACCTACACCTGTCTTCTATTTTGCCTTTAAGAATCAGTTTCTATAGTATACAGTATTTTATATCGATTTCTCCTCACTATATGTCCGGGATAAGACATTTTCTGTTGTTTAACAGTCTTTAGCAATTCTTTAACTTTGTTGACCCTCCTTAGTAATTTTGATATTAAATCATTATTATTTTTTAGTTTCCGAATTCTACAGAAAAAATGAAAGAAATGTCAAAGGATTTTAAGAGTCGATGGAGAACAATTAAAGATGAAGAAACAGAACAATTCATGGATTACTTTATGTTCGAGGGGAAAATGCCATGGCAAAATAAACACATATTGAGGAATAAACAAATTTAATACACTGTAGCGTTGTAGTTATAAGTGGGGAAGGCTTCCTAAACTCTTTAATTTACTTACCTGTATAAAAATAAATTCAACTAAATTAATTATGTATAGATTTAAATAAACATTGTCCAAAAGAATATTTATGTTTACATTACCTCATTGCCACTTTCTGGAGATAAATTTGAGACCGATGATCTAAGGGAAGGTTTGTATATTTGTTAGTATGCTTAGTATGTAGTAGTTATAAGAGTTGAGGAGCGATCAATCAAAACACAATAAATCCAATAAAACTGATTCGGAGTTGCAAAATGCAAAAACGTTACCTCTTACTCATCGCTGTGTTAAAAAATGTAAATCAGATAATATTTTAAAGAACAGGTAGTATATTACATGTAAATAGAAATATTAAACTCACAATATGTTTCATGATATGTGAAAAAACAAAGAGTGGATTTATACCAATACGAATGATCCTAAAAACATGTATGCTACAGGTCCCAGAGAGCATTAAATAATAATAAACTTAGCAATATAAGACAATATATGGCATTTTAAAAAAGTTAGAGAAGTAAAAAATAATTTTACATTATATATGTACACCATGCTCGGTTTTGATGTTGTTCTTCGTTATTGCAGCATTCTGTTGCTAAGAGTTTCTTATACCAATCTAAAGACTCGACGTTCATCGTTAAGTGCTGTTCTAAGAGATGTTTCAGAGATTTTTCCTTCTTTTCAATAAGCGCGTTATTCAACCGAATACTATCCAGTCCCATACCCTGATCAGTTTTTCGCGCCTTTATCAATGTTTTTCCAACTTCTAGAAGACTTTCATATCGTAAGTTTTGGAAACGCCAAACTTTTATTGTAGTATTTTTAAATTAAGTCTTTTTAAATAGAACATTCCACGAATTTTTGGTAAGTTGTTTTGATTGTAATCTAGATTAAGTGAGTCCAAATTATCCAGAAGAGCAGAACCTACTTGCACAGAACGCCGTCCAGCTTGATCCTCGCTCCACGTATAACAATGGGAACCTTTTGATCCCATATCAACACAGCAGAAAACATAAAAACTTACTTGGTGTGCAGATATGAGTGTCTTAGGGAATGGCTGGTCCTGCTGCAAGTCAAAACAAATTGAAAATTCTGGACGATCTTTACAAAACTGGTAGAATGCTTAATGCTTTTGTTGTGAGGTTTTGTACAAATAATTAACTCCTTTTTTTGCACTTTTTCTATTTTAATTTGGTTCGTGATTCTCATGTATGTGGCACATACATCTGAAGCAGGTGAAGAAAAGCTTAAATTAAAATCCTTTCTTAAGATTCATGAAAACATTGACAGTAAAACTTGTTTTGTCTCGAACTTTGTGCTCATGTAACTATGCAATCCTTAAATCGCTGTCTAAATAAAATTTTTGAGACTTTAATAAATTGTAATGTCTTTTTCGTCTTTTCAAATTGCCGATAAAATCTCTAACGCAATTATTATTGTTTTTTTGGATTTATGATCTCCTCTCTTGTCTTTTGGTACTTCCCCTGAATGAATGGTATTTGCAACTCTGGTTGTGCGCCGTGCTGATAGAGCCACAGCTGAGGTAAAGAATTTTTGACAAACTCTTAATGGATGTTTAGAATTATAATTTTTAAGTAATATGTTACTGCGAACTTACGAGATTTGAAAGGTATAGATTTTCTTCGTCTGTTTACATCATATGACACAATTTTATATCTTGCTCATTTCTATTAGTAAAGCTGTACATTTTTTCCTTATATATTTTAATATCACCCAGTGTACTATTACACTGGTAACTACGGCCGTCATGATAACATGGTCTTTTTAAATTTGTCAAAGTAACATCTGAATCACCACATCTAAAAATGCAAAGATAACTCTGAACTGGACATCTGATGTAATAAAAAAACCATTTTACCTTGGGCGTTTCTTTCTCGCATGTCCAGAAACGTTATCACTCCTCTTCCCAACAACTTTTTCTTTAACAGCTACATTTAACTCCTCAAAATAGCTCATTTTAGATACAAAATAAAACTACAAAAATAATATTAACACCACAAATCAAAACAACGTGTATTAAATTATTTTTAGGTATAGAGACAGAGGTATAAGAGTTATAGAGACAGAATATGAGAATATCGCCACAAGTTATTGGGGAGTACTTGCCACATCTAGTACATAAATGCCAGATTAATCTGCATTACTTTCTTCAAATACAAGTACGTATGGTGGTTTTATGGCACTTTGATTGAGGCTAGGAACACAAATGGATTTATTGTGTTTTGAATGATTTGCGCACGTTCGATAGCTATTTTCTATTGGAATTATAGCCTTTGGAAGGAATTGTCTGTGACCACTGGATATATTTCATTAAAAAACTATTTACTATTAATTTAACTCATCATCATCATATAACGGGGGTCCTACGGCGATTGCCGCTTCCCGCATTTCAGCCTCCATCTTTTCCTATCTCCCCAATCTCCCTCTTCTAAGCCTCTAGATTGCATTGTTTTTGTAATTTCTCTTCTCCAGGAATTTGGTGGTCTTCCCCTTTTCCTTCTTTCTGGAGGAACATACATTAAGGCTTTCTTTGGCCACCGCTCCTCCTCCATTCTTATCACGTGACCATACCATTGTAATTGCCTTCCTTGTATTCTATCTGAAAGAGTATCTCTAATTCCTGTACGGTTTCGTATTTCCTCATTCCTGATTCTTTCCATTCTCGATACTCGACATGACCTTCTAAGATAATCCATTTCCACAACGTCTACTTTATCTCGTTCATTCTTTGTCATCGTCCAACATTCGGCACCATATGTGGTAATTGGTTCTACAATTGCTCTGTATACGCGAAGTTTGGTATGCATCTTTATTTTATTAGACCACAGTAATGAATTCAGTATTCGGACATGACCTTCTAAGATAATCCATTTCCACAACGTCTACTTTATCTCGTTCATTCTTTGTCATCGTCCAACATTCGGCACCATATGTGGTAATTGGTTCTACAATTGCTCTGTATACGCGAAGTTTGGTATGCATCTTTATTTTATTAGACCACAGTAATGAATTCAGTATTCGGATTCATTTTTTCCCTTGGGTTATTCGGTTTTGTACATCTATCTTAACTTTGCCATCTGCTGATATGATGCTTCCTAAATATTTATACTGGTTGCAGCCTTTTATGACTGCGTTTTCAAGTCTCAGATCTGTGGTATTTCCTCCAATTTTTAAATATTCTGTTTTGCTTATGTTTACAGTAAGCCCCCATTTGGCATATTCCTCAAATAATTTTCGATTCATATAATTTATATCTTCCTCATCGGTTGCAACCACCACCTGATCATCTGCAAACAACAATGTATACAGAGTTTCTTGTCCCACTTCGATGCCCATAAATCTACATTTATTTCTCCAATTCCTCAATGCTTCTTGGACGTATATTTTAAAGAGTGTCGGTGACAAACAGCATCCTTGCTTTAGACCTTTAGTGACTTTAAATTCATTTGAGGTTCTGGTTCCAATTTTTACACAACTAACTGCATTTTCGTACAATTTATATATCGCTCGGATATACGTCGAATCCAATCCGGACCTTTTGAGGACCTCAAACATTTTCTTTAACGGGACACTATCATATGCTTTCTCAAGGTCTATAAATACCAAATGGGTCTCTCTACTTCTTTCGACACGCTTTTCAATTATTTGTCGTAGGATAAATATATTATCAAGGCAGGATCTCCCGGTACGAAAGCCGCTTTGTTCTTCAATATCTTGTATCTGTCTTTCAACCCTCTTCTTTAATATTCTGCCGTACAACCGGCCCACAGAGCTCGTCACACTAATACCTCTATAATTGGAACAGTCTCTTTTATTCCCTCTCTTATATATGGAGCTTATATAAGATTTATTCCAATCTTTAGGAATTTCCTGGTCTCCACACATACATTTATTGAAAAGGTCTACTATTAATTCTAAAAGTGCAGTCGGCCCATATTTAACCAGCTCTATGGGAATGTCTCCAGGCCCTGCGGCTTTTCCGGTTTTTAACCTCTTTTAAGGTTTCCGTCAATTCAGATAATGTTATTATAGGGATTTCCTGTCTTTCGTCTCTGTTGTCTATTAATTCCCTTATCTTTTCCCATCTGTACTCTACTCTATCCTCTTTCAGCAGTTTCGTATAATATTCTTCCCATTCATTTAACTTTATGAGAGAAATGTTGTCTTCATTTTTCTCATTTTTCCTAAACTGTTTTAATGTTTTCCAAGCTTGCGCCACTTTTGTTCCACCCATAAATCTGTCCAGTTCATCACACTTAGCCTCCCAGTTTATATTTTTCGCCTTATCCACGTCTTTTTTAACTTCTCTATTCCATTTAGCGTATATTTCTCTGTCTTGAGGATCTTTGGATTGAAGCCATATGTGATATGCTTGTTTTTTCTTGAGAACTTTCTCTTCTAGTTCCGTTGACAACCATTCAGGTTTTCCTTTTTTCCGATTTTCAACTTTTCCCAGTGCTTCATTTGCCGCTTCATGAATATATTTTTTAATTACCTCATACAGACTTTCGGGGTCTAAGTCCTTTGTTTCTATATTTTTTATTTTCTGAGCTATTCTAATTTTATATAAGAACTTTGTCGAATCTTGTTTAAAGCTTTCCAGGTTATATTTTATGTTTTCTATGGTTGTTCCTATGTCTGTTACTTCATCATTTTTGTGACTTGATTGTTCTCTCTTAAATGTCACCATTAGTTTTGCAATAATCATATGGTGGTCACTTCCACATTCTGGCCCTCTAAACACCTTCACGTCCTTCGTTTTTAGTTTAGAATCTTTACGATGAATGAAATAGTCAATTATTGATTTTAAATTCCTGGTAGGCTGCGTCCATGTAAATTTATGTATATTCTTATGGGGGAAGAAACCATTTAATATTTTCAAAGAATGTGCCTCGCAAAAATCTATTAATCTTTGACCATTGTCGTTCAGAGTGTCTTCTCCATATCTCCCTATTATTTCACTGTTGGAGCTCTTTCCGGTTCTTGCATTAAGATCACCTAAGATCCAAATTTCTTTCTTCTTATTAATTGTGGCTAGAACAGTTGTTAACTTGTTAAAG